AAGTTGCCAAGGGACAAAGTGAAGTCTACTCAGGCTCAATAACAACAGGACCTAGAGGTGAAGTAAGTATGATTGTTTTAATCTTCACTTATACAGTTTGGAGCTAATGTAAAAACTAAGAATGCCATCTTAACTTAGAAGCTGGGTTCACGAAAAAACTAAGTATAAATTGTTCGTGCTAGATTTTGAAAGACAATAGCCAGTAAATACTGCAATGCTTGTGTTTCGGGCTTATTGCCACTCACCAGTAAACAGCATCTACAACCATAAGGAAATCGGTGTTGTGTAGACGACTCAAACCTACATTACTGAGTGCTGAGCTACTCAGGTCACTAATAACCCTCTGTAAGACTGGATTATGTATACTTATTTGTGTTACACTGCAAAACATGATCGATAACCTTAGATCAGCTCAAGCACACAGAACTAGACAGTTATTTTGGTTGACTACTGGTGATCACTTCGTATATATTTTGACCATTTGATTCCTTCTAGCCGTCAAACCAGTAAAGTGACTTTATTTGATATTTTGTAATTAAACGTAACAAGAATGTACTTTTACTTGATATACTGCATGACATTTTCAACCAAAAAGATAGCTATTCTAGCAGCAATGATTGGTGGGTTTTAAATGGCATCGACAAAAATACTGTATTTTCAGTCGAAATTTCATCAGTACTATCCCTTCCCCTTTTACAGGTAGAAAGCTTCCGATTTCATTCGCTTAGCATTATCGGTATGTTGTTTACTAAGTGTATGATAAGCAGACCTTTTTACCAACAGCTGTTTAAACTCAGGCAATATTAAGTGAAACTTGTGTGTTAATTAACTTTATTTTATGCTTAAACAACACAGTTGTAGAAGACAGTATTATTCAAATTGCTCTACTCCTTAAAAACAGAATACTTTCAACAGCCGTTTCTTTTTTTTCTCATGCATTGTGTCATCTGGCTTTCTTACGCCATCACACGAGTTTGTATTTATAACAATTGAAAACAAATTGTAACTGAAATACTGATTTGATGCTGACTTTCTGATGGAAAGCATAGCTTAGTGCAGTACAATTCACTTTCGTCTTTCTTTATGAGGTTATTAATACTTAGAATATACCTAGTCTAACATAATTAAGTCGAGAATAGATGAGTGACTTAGTTGAACACATTTCAGGAAGTGTTTGCTGACAATTCGACAAACATAAGGTGCTAGTTTTCGTCAATAATATCAAGAGATAGATTGAAAATCACGTGGATCGCCTAGATCATATCTTGTAAACAATAACTGCTACATTTCTGTTTAAAACAACAAATAGCTGACTTCCTGTGCACGAAAATGCTAGCATGAGTCTTTCAGTTTATTTTAAAAATGATATTTTAGATTATCACGTGTTGTACACATGGCAGATTGTATCTTTTGAATGTTGCTGCTAAAATTAGCTTATCTCTAATTCCGATCGCAGTCTCCTCCTTTCATTGAATCAATTACCAAATTTCATTACTTTATTAATAACTTGATGGTGGCTAGCAGTGGAAAACAGGGAATGTATTTTGTTCTCCTTGGGAATCGCTAGCTGGATATATATGCATCCCAGTAAGTTATGCTGTTCCTAATGAGACCTGAACCCCAAATCCATCACTTCAAAGCCCAAAACCTAATTCATAAGGCCACTGATGCACGAGAGTCACCTACTGTGAAACGACTATTAGTTATTATTCACTGGAGCCAGTAGTTTCTTTTTTTAAACCGGATTTAACAGAACCACCTCCATTAGAACATGGATATTTGTAGCCACAAGGATAGCATTAGAGTCTCAGTGGGAAATCACTCAGTAGGGTGTAGATATAAACCGTTGACGAGTCAAGAGTGAGAAGAATCATCCCTTTGCTACAAGCCACCAACAAATTAATTACAACCCAACTAAGAAATAAATGTGAGTTAAGAAATATTTCTTTCCTTTCAGCTCTTCATCGATGGCTGTACACTAATATTTAGCGTCTTCAAAATATAAAATTACTTACCAGTCTAGAGGTGATGATTATTGAATGATAGGTTATCAATCTCCAAGTATCGACAGGGTGGTAATTGTTCAGGGTAATTAAAACTGTGTTTTCTCTAATTACCGTCAGCAATGTACCGCTTGACGTAATACCTCATTTTCTCTTCTCTTCATGTTAGTTAATATTATACAAACTATCGATTTATAACAGCCTGTTTAAAATTTCACAGATTTTACTATGTAGTTTATCTTTAATTTAGCTACAGTTTTAATTACCCTGAATAATTACCACCCTGTCGATACTTGGAGATTGATAACCTATTATTCAATAATCATCACCTCTAGACTGGTAAGTATTTTTATATTTTGAAGACGCTAAATATTAGTGTAGAGCCATAGATGAAGAGCTGAAAGGAAAGAAATATTTCTTAACTCACACTGTTTGTTTTCTGAATGTCCAATTAGGACTTTTCGCTTTGCAACATAATCATTAATTGGGCAATATCGAGACCCTCGCATTTGCCGCCATATACAGATAGAAGTGGATCGATTTGAACTATTACAACAACGGGAAGCTACTAGTATGAATAAATAATTACCGAACTTCATTTATTAATTGTGGTTTCTTGACCCACTTTGCACCATAGTACTTATGGCGAACAAATCAAATGCAGATCTTCGCAAACTAGAATGTGTATGATAGTTACCTGTAACTACTTCAGAATGTTTTAAAATCATTCAACTTCATTTTTATATGGAACTGCACTGCATGAGGCAAATGGATGAAAAGTAGGCTGCTACTGAGTCAATGTCTTGTATTTTGAAAACTCAGTCAGCCTTCATGCTTGCATGACCATAACCCATTGTCTACGTTAGACATCTCATCTAACTCTTGATTTAGTGCGATACTGATATTGAAGAGTAGATGTGAGGTTTCACGCCTGTATCTTGATACTGCATTTTGAAACTTAGTCTACTGCCATGAACTCCGTATGATATCCTATCACATAATTATTGGTTGCACTCCATCACTTCGTCCAGTGTTAGGGTCAGAACTTATTCAGAACACCAGTTTGTACTTAGATGCCCTCTTACATAAGTAACTAAACCATGCAGGAAACAAGATACAGTCAGTTAGTCTATATATCTAAGTGATACGAGTTCATATCTTCACATGATTACTAGAGTCTTCTTTTCCTGAATAGAAAGTTTTGATTCCTTACCGTATACTATACTACGTCCCACATAGCTCTGTGACAACATTTCTGACTGCAACAATAGGTGACCTGAATCCGAATCTCTATGGATATATCCATCCTCTTCAGGTTACAGATACACTTTACAAAAAGTCCCAACAAGCCCGAAAACTAGACCAGGGGCATTCCATCGATTGTTTTTAACCACCAAACAAGATGAAGTCGTACAAAAGTGTGGCACAAACTTTAAAATTACCAGTCAGCTGTTGACCCGTGTCTTCAGGACACCTGAATGCGTTATCGTAGTCACGAAATTGTACAGTGAATAGATATCCAAGAAGTTACTTATCTGTTTAATCATTTTATCACTAAAGATAAATTCAAGCTGCATAATATAACTCTGTGACATCCAAACCTAACTCCTTTATGTAAACATTTATTTTCTAATAGCTAATTATCTTTATGTAAAAATGTGTGAATTACCATCTTGTAAAATCTCATTTTCTGTTCAATGAAGCTCAGTAATATTGAGATAGGTCAGATTACTTAATAAAATAATATAACTCCAAAAGAACATTTTCTGTTACAATAAGGTAGACATTTAATTAATTGTAAATAAATTTCATTATCTTACCAACAGGTCTTTGAAATGCAAGACATCGTTGACAGGAAGCATGTTAACAGTAAAGTTAAACCAGACTTCTCTACGTTGCATCCATGTCCCTGGGTTTCAAAAGAGAATTCTTCCCATTTAAATGGCAATAGCACAGATAACGGCGATATTAACTCTAAGAATCAAAAATATTCAGTTTGCGCTGTTTTGTGTGATTTAGTCTGGCCAAATAACGAACCATGCAAAGCTCACCAAGAGTTACTGTACAAAAACTAATCAAAGAACTCCAAACTAAGTACAACTTACGTTTATTTTCCGCCTTCGAACCAGAATTCAGAGTATTTGAAAAGGGTACATTTGAGAATTCATGTCTGAAACCATTACAACCAAATGAAGCTGAGTCTTACTCTTTTAACTTGCCAGCGCCGTACACAAAGTTTAGTGATATTTACCGAACAAGTTTGCTATCAGTTTATGAAGACTTATTTGCTGATATTGAATACAATATGCACTTGACCAAAATCGATGTACAAGACTATAGTAATGAAGATGGAGAAGGCCAACTAGAGTGCCCATTAATGCCGACGTGGGGATTATCCGCTGCAGATAATTATTTCATATTTAAACAAGCTGTGAAAGAGATTGGTTCAAAACATGAAATGGAGATTTCATTTATGACCAAGCCTCTATTGAACGCTAGTTCCAGTGGTTGTCATTACAATCATTCACTATGGTATGCTGATAGTAATCGGAATGCATTTTTCGATGAGAAAGGTATGTTGTACTGTTCCTTGGTAGTTGAATACATCTATAACTGTCTGTGAAATATCATAATATGTTGTTTCAGCCCCTTCTTTACTTAATTAAACCAGCACAAAGACAACCACATATTTCTGGGAGCAGTTTAGTTTTATTGTAAAGAATTACTAATTTGCCAAATCAATATGAACTTCCTCATTACCGAAGGACCAATTCTACTTTTTAGGAGGCAGTCTTCGGTTGAAATTAATATATAACTTCATTATATGTGCATGAAGTGATCCGAAGCAAAACTACTCACCACACTACACAGTCATTCATGAAACCGCTTAAAATAATAGGTACTTTATAAAAAATTAAGTCTCTGTTACAAAATATCATAACTTCTTGATAAACAACATAAGTTTGACTTTTTTTAACTTTCCCTCACTTATTTCAGATCCTGATGGTCTGTCCTTACTTGCTCGTCACTGGATCGGTGGTCTTATAGAACATTTACCAGCAATGCTAGCTATTTGTTCGCCAACAGTGAACTGTTACAGAAGGTTAAACAAGTTTTACGCACCAGGTCCAATAAACTGGGACTTTCGTGACAGGTTTGTAGCAGTACGTGTGAAAAACTTTGGTGAAAGCAATACATACATTGAGAACCGTATTCCGTCATCTGCCTCTTGTCCTTATCATGTACTTGCTGCTACTTTAGCCGCTGGTTTGGATGGCTTAGATCGTCAACTGGAGCCGCCAACCCCAGGCCAGAAACCTTTGGTTGGAGAGATAGGTGTTCACGTGAAAATGCTTCCGAGCACTCTACAGGAGGCAGTGAAGAACTTAAAAGAGGATGATATATTTGCGAAGAAGTTGGGAACAGATTTTTGTAAATGGTACATCTGCATGAAGGAATGTGGTGATTTGGGATATCTTGGTCATTTGGATACAAATGATAATAGAGAGGAAACCTTGGCTTTTGAACGGTATGAATACCTTAAATTCAGTTAATGAGTTACATAACAAGAATGACTGTTTTTCTTAAGTTAGCAATTATATAATTCTAGACTATTTGGATTTCTTTTTGGTAATTTATTGATGTATTCAGTGTTAATTTGTACAGTGGTCAGTGGTTGGGCCAATGTTATCCACCTAAAAATGATATATTTGTTCCCAGTCGTACTGTTTAGTAGTTTTATTTCCTCTAGCCATCTTTGTAAAACTATCTGGTTTTCTTTTATTTCTTATACTATTCTAGTGAACACATATTTGTGATATTTTTTTAAATATTTCCAAATAAATACTTTCTTGTTTATCTTCACCTTTTAAAACCGAAGCATTCAATACTAAATAAACGAAATATTTACTCATCAACCTGAGCTAGAGGATAGTAAGGCAAAACGTATTTGAAATAATCGTAGTTGACATCCCGAACAACTTCGGATTATTTACTTGAATAGCGGCGACAAAGAATTGTCATAAATCACTCGTTGATAACCAGTTTTATACCAAAGCTGCTAATGATTTTGTTTCTGGTGATAATAGTTACTGTACTTAGTTAGAACAAGTGTTAGTTTGTTGCTGCTGTGTTTACTGGTTGTGAATACAATAAATTAACTTAATTTGAACAGTCAACACTTCTCTCTGCTTAGTTTTGTTCCTACGCTTTTTCATCTTTACTCATTTAGATATTTGTGCATTAGTCACACAGTGCTTATTAAATGACTGAGATTTTTCCGATATTCACAGTTTCATTTATGCATTCTGACACTAAAATAAGTAAGATTTCGAATGACTAACCTGCAGCCTTGACATCCTGCGTTTTACATCAAGTTCTTCATGAGAATATGTGGGGTTGAGTGAGTCGCTACTAGTGAAACACACAGACCACTTAATTATCATCTTTAAAACCCTATTTTCACTTACTTCCAATGCCTATTGGAACAGTATGATAGTATGCGCATGTGTCATTACTGCAAAATTAATTGAGTTACTTCTCATGCCCAAAGAAATTCATATACATACCCTACCCTTCTGCTTGTGGGCATTATATTTTCCAGATTTTGAAACCGTACTTTATAGGTATTTATGCAGAAAAATAGTCATTTCAGTGATTACTTCCATGACAGCAATACTACTTGGACCACCTACTCATATCTATCCAGCTTTTATGTATGTGTTGACCGGAATATGAAACTCTACAAAATATAAACAAGCTCCATATGCAACATTCGAAGCACTAAGCAACTAGGGAAACTCGTCAGTAACATCCTACTTCTTAGTTTATCTAGTCACCAATTATAATTTCACTGAAATATGCAAAAGGCGTTGTTATCGGAATCAATCATCACACTAAACGTCTGTGATACACCAAGAACATATCATGGTTAGTTTACAATCACTATAGTCAAACAAATTAGTTTTAACTGTTTATCACAGGCTTCGTTTTTTTCAGCTACAATATATATTCATTTCAATGTATTGGGTAGGTTCAATGCCAATAATGTTTTTTTCTTGGCGCTTTTAATCTACGGGGTAATAAATATTTATATAAGTTATTTTCACTTATGACTAGTCATAGAGTACTGGAAATTCCCAATATTAATATATATTGACTCTAAGAGCTTCCATGAATCATTAGTGTTACGGATACACGTATAGCTTGTAGCGTTTTATTTCACTGTATTGTGTTGATATGTGTAACAACTCATTGAACATTTTTTGTTTAGTTGTACTGATAAAGACTTTTTGCTCGCTCGTTGACCAATACAACAACCCGATATATACTTCGCGTTAACTCCTGATATTTACTCTGTCTGACGCAGGTGATCAGCAGTGTCGGGAATTATAAATAGGCGATAGCGTATCTGGACACGTATATAAATTTGGAGTTAGATTTCAGAGCTCGACAAGCTTTCTAAAGCTTACTGTGATCAATAAAACTTACCTTCACAATTCAAGACATCGAAAAAGAAATGATAAATTTAGAAGTAACAACTTTGGGAATACAAAAAGGCACTCATCCAATCAATCTTCACTGGCTAACTGAAAATTTTTAAATCAAGCCAGATTTTTGTAATAGTTACCTAATTCTGTTGGCGGTTATACTTTAGTTAAGAAATTTCTGTTATGCTATTATCGTGTTTTGATTAGATTTACTGACACAGTGGTCAGGCGCTTAGGTTGACTGACTGTTTTTTGACCTTCATCTTGGCTTACAATCAGGTGCTCGTCAACTGACACAAAACTGACAGTTAGGTTATTTTTGTTACATTTTTTGTACAAATGTGACACGTTTTTTATTAAAAAAACATCCAGATAAGTTGGTGTTACTGCCTGTAATTCCCCGTCAATGATTCGGCCAAAGTGATTCTACACTATTGGTGTGTGGGATCCTGTGCAGATGTCTCAATATCTCGAGCAATTTTAGTCTGATAGTAGTGATGGATAGTGGCTAGCAGTTGAATCCGGGACGCAGGTTTCCTTCTGTTCTGCACTTTTCAGCTGTGTGTACCTGCCTGCAAGCCACGACATCAAAAATATGCTCATCGCACTAGGAATGGCTATTGCTCCTCGATGGTCTATTGCACAACGCTCTGGTTTTTGAAACAATTGGTCCTGAACGTGACTCCTAGCAGGAGAAGCACTAGTCACTGGGAGGCAGGTAATTGCAGCCGATGAGTCCAAAAGCGGACATTGTGTGAGTCAAGGACTCCACTGCTACCACTATCCATCGTCAGTATGCAGTTAAACATCTGGTATTATTGTCTTCCTTTATTGGTTGATTTCGGTTACAGGAACTTCTATGACTTAAGTGGAGTAGGAAAACCGAAATCCACTCATCAACCTTGTGCCCAATGTTGCTGTAGACAATGCGCCACACCTTTTGGGTTTGGGTTAATGATACTACCTTTATGTTCAAACATAAGTTGGTTGAGGTGGGTTAGAACATGTGGCTCACTGGTCGAAAATACAGTGGCTTGACCAATAAGCAGCAGCTTCATAATATCAGTTGGCACTGTTCACTATTACTCAGGTGGATAATACCAACCAGATTATTTCCACTGATATTATCATTATTATTTAAATTATCTGAGTTTGTCAAGTAGCCCATAAGTATTCACCTCAAGGCGGGATGAACTATAGGAAAAAGAAGCATCCTATCACCCTTAAACCGACAATCCTCAATGGGTAGTTTTGTCCGTGAGTCATAGGTGTATAATGGTTATCATACCCCTGATTTTCAGAAGCAACCTGAAACCTACAGAGGTACAGATACAGCGTCATTTGGTTAAATTTTATACAAAAACCTTTCATACATACCTTATTTGTGAAATAGGGCTGCATAAGGGATTATTATTCCCCTCTTCATATGAAAAACAAATCTGACATGTGAAGATTGTGGTTTTTCAAAACAACGTGAACCTTCACACACACCACTATGGTGAATGCTCTTTATAAAACTGCTGATCAGTAGTACACAGCTCAGTATCGACGAACGAAGATTTGGGAGGGAAGAAGACACAACATTGAGTAAAACTATAGAGGGCAATAACACTGCATACTGGGATACTGAAGAAAAAGAATATTTGCGAACATTTCTTTATTTTAAGGTCTACTACTTTTATCACTACCAGCCACGTCTTACCATTATAAATAATCAATGCAAATTCGCTAAACTTTTAATCATTACTAGCAGTTATGAATCAAATTAAGGAGACGATAGGTTAGGATGATAAACAAAGATTGTCCTCCACGACATTAGTATCTAACACCTGTCGAATTTCATACTGAATTGAAAATGTCAATAGATCATGATACAAGACGTCAAATAAATTGAACCTGGTTATCTTTGACAGACAGAAATCATTATGTTGAAAATGCCTTCAAAACTGCCACTGTGACTGTATTTGGCATCAACCAGGTAGAGCTTACTGTTCATCCTCAGTAATCGAAGTCATGAACTATCTATGCCTGTGTTTTTCGGTGTAGTCAGTTGATTTCGTGAATATTTCAGCCTTTATCGAGGGCTTCAGCATCTTCTAAACAACATGTATGTGATCAAAGGTTTACAGGTTCGTCTCTTTGCATCACACTGAGAAGTTAACTATACACTATCCGGTAGGCTGAATCAAAGGAACTGGGAATTGGCAAGCTAGTGCAAACTATTGCACCATTCATACTACTTATAATCACTATCAACTGAAAACAAAATATGGTTTCGGAATAACAGCGATCATACAAATACCGCACTGGACTGGAGAGGAAGGGTTTATATTCATCTTACTTTGCAAAATTTCTGACAACTACAAAAATTTTCATTGTTCCAAGTCTTAGCACTAGGTGTAAGGAAAAATACTTTAACACGTACCGGAGAATAAATTACGTCGAAAATGTGAAGAGTCAGTAGTAGTAAGTTGGACGACGAAAAGTATTTTCGCAAGATCTAAATCATCCATTATGTTTAAATTAGTAAAAATCGTGAAGTTTAACCAGTGAGAAAAGCCTAATAAAAGCGGTGTTTTTACAAACTAAAGACATCATTCAAAGTAGGTTGAATAACTTACATTCTATTGGAAATGTAACCAGAAGACATAACTACTATTTGAATATAAAGTCTATGTATCAAGATACACTCTACCTAACAGTAAAGGGTGAAAATATACTTCAACTAAGGACTAACCTGCAGTTCATGAGTAATAATTAACGTTTCTGTAGCTCAGTCGTAAAATAACTTGAAAAACCCTTATGTTAATGAGACTTTAAGACCAGCATGCAAAAAAGTTCTGAGAACATAAATCACATGTTTTAGAAGCTGTTTGGGGATAACAATCGCTGAGTAATCAAGATGCGTTCCATGTACATCGCCTCTTCGCTCAATGTGATTATACTGGCATGTAAAATTTCGCTTCCGTTCATTTTTGTGTAAGCAGTTATTAAAAGTGTAGAAGCACGTCATCGGTCACATCGGATCGGCATCCTATTCTCTCACTGAGGACGGATATGTGAAG